TAGATAGCTCTGTAAGCCCTGATTTACGAGAACATCATTTGATGGCAGAAAAGTAAGAGTCAAATGAACAGGTTGTGGTGATACTCAGCCCCTTGGTAGAACAGAAAGATTAGATCTCCCCTACTCCAGTGACTGGCTAGCAGAGAGTATCGAGAAGCAATAGTGTGTTTTCAGCAATATCTCAATTCTTTTGTAACAGTCCATTCCCATGTTTTCTTTTCTCCCTGTAAGGGAAAGAAAGGCCTAAATTTATAGTGTAAATTTGGGGGTACTTAGTACAGTATACATTTTTGAAGGAAAATATATTATGCATCTCTGTAATTTCTACATTACCTGTTAAAGTACCCTGCTGATACATACTTTCTTTGTTTAAAAACCTCCTGAATCCTTTTCACCCATCTAGTTACCATAGTATTTCACACCTACCCCAGTTACAGTATTTGTGTTGCATTGTAACTTTTTATCTTTGAACACCTAAAAGATTATAAACCCTTCTAGGAAAGAATGGTAGTTATCTTGTTTTTTTTTTTATATCATAGGACCTGTTACAGTATCGGTCACATAGTAAGTACTCAGTAAATTTGGAATACATTATGTACAACCAAGATCACATCAAGTGCTCAGAATCTGAAGGCAGTTCTGAAGTCACCTTGTGTCCTTTTCCTCTCCTTTGGTCTTTTTATTCTTGATTTTAGTACATTAGATTCTTTGCTTGCCTGCTTTGCACTTCTACTAGTATATAATGATCATCTTCCCTGTATCTATAATCTTGTCCTCTCCTGTGACTGCAAATCTAAGGATAGATTTGCTAACTCCCTACCTTAGGATATCCCACATCTGAATATTGCCTTTCACAATCCCCTCACACAGTAATTGTCCAACTGAAAAATCACAAAATAGAGCGGTTCCCTAGTGCCCCAACCTCTTTTCTACTTAACAGCAGTGTATGGGAGGAGGTTTTCTGAAGCTTGGGAATCTTTTAAGGTGCATGGAAGCTCTGTCCTTTCTAATCCAGCTGGCAGCTCTATAGCTGGACACATAGACCAGATATGTCTTCAGCTCAGTTTGATGGCAACTAGGAGCATTGGTTTGAGGGTAGCAGAAGGGAGAAATGTGCCAGGTTTCTGAGTTAGATGATAAGTGTATGGTGAAGGACTTCTAAATGTAATAGGGAGTACAGACGGGTGCAGACTGTTTGGAGGAAGACTGATGAGTTACAGATAACTGGTATTAGGATGTCCTGAAATGTATCCAGATAAATATTATTCTAGTAAGCAATTAGATAAAACAATCAAAATTAGTGAAAAGATCAAATTTAGGAGTTCTTAAACCACAAGAATAAGTGGTATTTCCTTGGACATAATGTAGCATTAGAAGTCAACTAACAGCAGAACTGAGAATTTCAATGAAGAAAAAAAAGAAAGCCATGAAGAGAATGAAGAGAAGAAATTATCTGAGAGTAAGAAAACCCAGAAAGGCTGCCCTCAACAAAAACCAAAAGGCGAAAAATTGAAAAAAGGTAGGATGTATCAGTAGTGTCAGATAAGAGGTGGAACTGCCCCTGGGATTTGATGATTAAGCAGTCATATAATCTTATTGAGAACAATTTCATTGGAATGGCAGGAGGCAAAGCCTCATGCTGTCTTGAGGTCTAATATAGGTGTCCCCAACCTCCAGGCTGCAATCAGCACCAGAACCAGTCCAGGCCTGTTAGGAACCAGGCCCCACAGCACTTGAATTATCCTGAAACTAACCCCCGCCCTCCCCCATGGAAAAATTGTCTCCCATGAAAGCCATCCCTGGTGCCCAAAAGTTTGGGGACCGCTGGTCTAATAACAAAATGAGGAACTAGAAACAACACGTGTAGGAGATTCTCTACAGTTTAAAAGAGGATGACCCCTGGCTGGTGTGGCTCAGCTGATCAGAGTGCACACCTAAAGGCTGGGGGCTCCATTCCAGGTCAGGGCATGTACATAGCTTGTGGGTTTGATGTAGACCAAGGGGGTGGTCCAGAAGGTAACTGAGAGGCTTTTCTCTCTCTCTCCCCCTTCCTCTCTCTCCAAAATTCAAAGATTTTTGAAAAGATTTTTAAAGGAGAAAGATGAGATGACTTAAATTTCTGTAAAGCCTGTGTTGGAGGCCTCTTCCTAATCCCTTAATGCCTGACTAATCTCTCAGGGGTGCAACTTCTCAGACAGCCACAGCAAGAAGCTCGGACTTTCTAAGAAACCTAGGCCACGGTGGGTTCAGCAGATCCTAAATTTCCTGCTACTTCTCATAGGTTATATAATATCTGTAGGCACATCACCATCTGAGGGCATTCCAGATCTTGTGTGCTACAAATGCTAATTCTTTCTCTTTGTTGCCAACTCAAAATACATTGCCATAGGTAAATGAATGGTGACATTATTATAGCACCAATCTTAATTTGTCTATAATGTATTTTTTTAAAACTTAGTCATTTACAAACTTAATCATTCATTATGAATTTTCTCTTTCTACCCCCTCACAAATAATCATGCTGCATCAGTATGCTCAGACTATTTCTGTTCCTTTGAACTGAAAAGTAGTTCAGTAAAGTTGTTAATGCATTCAAAGCCTTAGCCTGAGTGCATTCAACATTTTTTGTTGGTTCTGGGTGTTCCCTGTTGTTTCCGGATGTCTCATAGCTAGGAATTCATGATCACTGGGTGTTTATTGTACTATGCTTAGACAGTTGCTTTTATTTTCTGCTTTTTCCTACTAGTACTGTTTGGAGGGCCTTTGGCAAGATTTTCTGTGTATCAGGGCTGTCCTCAATGAGCTTGGGAAAAATATTTTCAGATCAGAAAGAAAAAAAGACTGTTTGCTGACACAGGCCTCTGACTTTGCCTTCACCTTTATGTAGTGCTAACTCACTTCCTACCAAGAAAGTCTGTATACAAATGGAAATGTATGCCTCCATGTAATTAGGAGCTCTACCTGCTTATCTTCCTCTACACCCTAACTTTATTGCTACTATAGTCAGTACTTGGAAAAATGATATGCCTTATAGGAGGATATATGAAACACAGACTAGCCATTGGGTTTTAGCCTCCAGACTCTAAACCATTGGCTTCCCCCATTTTCTTTGAAGTCTTCTTCCTAAAGTCCTTTTATATTCTGGTTCCTCATTAAGAACCTCCTTGAGAATCTCTGGCTTATTATTGCCTCCATTCTTGCTGGACATTATCCTTTTTTTTAAATTGATTATGCCATTACAGTTGTTCTATTTCCCCTTTCATTCCCCTCCACCCTGCACCCCTCCACCCCTATCATTCCCCCCTTAATTTATGACCATGTGTCTCAAGTTCTTTAGATTCTATATTTCCCATACTATTCTTGCCCTCCCCCTATCTATTTTCTACCTACCATCTATGCTACTTATTTTCTGTACCTTCTCCCCCCTTCTCCTTCTCCCACTCCCCTGTTGCTAACCCTCCATGAGATCTTCATTTCTAGGTTCTGCTCCTGATCTAGCTGTCCTTTTAGCTTGCTTTTGTTTTAGATGTGGTTGTTAATAACTGTGAGTTTGCTGTCCTTGGACATTATCCTAATAAGCTTCCTTAGTCTCTCAGGAATAGAACAAACACAAATTTATTCAGCTTACTCTAACAGGGGAAAAGGGCTACAGCTGTCTCACTAGTCCAAGAAAATACCATGCGCCTCCAAAACTCAGTTTTGGTTACAATGAAAATCCTATTGTCATAAAGTAATTGTGATCTATCTCTGCTTATGGTCCCATTATGCAGCTAAAGTGTCAGATTTCATCCGTCTGGCCCTCAGATTTTTGCCCTTTTAAACATGTCTTTTATATATATATATATGTGTGTGTGTGTGTGTGTGTGTGTGTGTGTGTGTGTGTATAAATGAAACATGTCCAAAATGGCTGTAAGCAGCTTTTTCTTCATCTTGCTTCTCTTTTTAGTTAAAAACACCACCATGTCCTCAGTTACTCGGGTAGAAATCTGAGAGTCATATTTGACTTCTCCCTGTCTAACCTCACCAAAATCCATTTACTCTGGCTCTTAAATGCCTCAAACAAATATTCACAGCCTTACACCTAGTTTGCCACCATTCTACTCCAGGCAATGTTCATCTTTTACCCAGATCACTGTGACAGTCTCCTAACTAGTCTTACTACCTCCACCTCACTTCTCTTTGATACTTCAGACCAGAAATATTTTTCAGAAATGCAAGCTGACCATTTTTCCCCTGCTTAAAATTCTTCAGTAATTTTACCATTGTCTGTAGAAGGAAGTCCAGACTTTTATATAACCTAGCTTATCTTTGTGACATTTTTTCACTTACATTCTCTGCGTCAGCCATCCCACTCTTTCAGTTTTTGTTCTAGCATATTCATCCTCACCTTCAAATGCTTTACTTTGAAATTAATCTTCTATATTTCAACCAGGTAACTCTTATTCATTTATTCTTTATCATGTAGCCTAAGTAGTACTTTAGAGAAAATTTCCCTGAATCCCTCAACTAAATTAATTTTCCTTGCTGTGTACTTCTGTATATAGTAATCTTTATTTTTCATGATAGCACTTAGTACATTTTAATTTTAATTACCTGTTAAATATCTAAACTTCAAGCTTTGTAGGTAAAGTCAGCTTGCTATCTTGCTTGTCAATGTGAGCTGTTCAAAGATGTAATGAACTTTCTTCGGAGCTTCCCTTTCCCATCACCCGTAGTGTGCATGTGTGGGTTGAATAGCTCCAAGTTGGAACTAATATAAAGAACCACTGGAAAGCTTTTAAGTCCTTTCCAGTCAGAAGATTTCTTTGTTCCAAATAGTCAAACATACAAATATAACTGTTTTAAAAGATTCTATCATTCAGTGTACAAGAATTATACCTAATTGAAAATATTGAATATTCAATGACTAATGACATGTGGAGCACCTAAGATTTATTTCTAATTTAGAGCACTGTATCTCAAGTTTTTGAAATTAATGTTATATTTTGTATCTCTTGCAGGCGAAATGAATCAGAAGTACAAGGAGCTAAAAAAAAGGGAGGAAAATATGGACAGTAAGTGTTAGTCTTATAGATATGAAAATACTGTATTTTCAGGCAGCTGTTCACTTATACCAAATCAGATATCTCATTTGGGGAGGGTAAAATGGCTAATAAATGCAGAAGTGTGGACATTCAAAGCATTTGCCTTGAAGGATTACTAAAGATCTAGCATAGTTAGGGGATAGGTAAAGAGTTCTGAAGAGGTGTGTGTATGTGAGTATATGTTAGGAATAAATTTTAAATCTTGTACTTATAGTCTGCATAGAGAATTTATATATAGACTACTTACTGATTGAACGTGAATATTCTGTTTTACCTGTTTCACTGTGTTTACCTTCAATATCTTTCATCTTTTTTGGAGCTTTTACAATATTTACTTAATTATTTATTGTTACTTGGGTTCTGTCACTAACTGAAATTTAGTAGCTTTTGGTTGTAGCTTCCCTAAGTCCGATGTCAATACTTACCTTCCAAAAAGCATGCTATAAAGCAATAATTGCCAACTCTGATTTAACAGTATACAGATTTTCCTTTAAAATCTCAGCAAGTACCAAAAATTATATCAAAATTCATTGTTTTATGCTAACCATAAAATACTTTTTAAGTTTATTTTTTGGAAGCATCATAGAAATACTTTAAGAATGTAAATAAGAGCAAATCATGTATTGGTTCTATATTAGACAAGAAAAAGAATGATTTTGTAGAATATAATCTGAAAAAGTTATTAAATTATTTAGAGAAGATTAATGCAGCATTCTAAGTAAAATATACATTTTCAGATAATATAGGTAATTAATACTATTTTCAGAAGTAAAGTTAATGGCTTATAATACACGTTAATAATTATACATGTATAAATAGATTCTATGTAAACACAATTTTTATCTCCTTTTTATCTTTACTTCTGGGCTTATATAAATGTTTAGTTTACTTTTATCATATAAGGTCATAAAAATTAAGCTTTTAAGAGTTTAAAAGTATGTAGCCCTGGATGGTGTGGCTCAGTGGATTGAGTGCTAGCCTGCAAACCAAAAGGTCACCAGTTCGATTCCTGGTCAGGGCACATGCCTGGGTGGTAGCCAGGGCCCCAATTGGTGGTGTGCCAGAGGCAACTGATCAATGTTTCTCTCACACATCAATATTTCTATTTATTCCTCTCTTTCTCCCTCCTTTCCCCTCTCACTAAGAAATAAATCCTTAAAAAATAGAAAATTTAAAAAAGTTTGAATATACGCAGAAATTTTCTTATTGGGTACCTTTGGTTTTATAAAATATTTATAAATATTTTATAAATTTACTTTTGTAAAATGTACTCTTAAGACCTACAAATCAGAATTTATGTGGTGTTAAGTACGTCAATAGTATTCTTTCCTCATTATTTCTCAATCGGCAGCTTTTATTGAGACCTTTGAGGAAACTAAAAGTCAGGAACTGGAACGGAAGGCACAGATAGAAGCCAGCATTGTTGCGCTTTTGGAGCATAGTAGTCGGGTAGGTACCATCTACCTGTCCTGGGGTCCTCAGTGTTTTTACTGTGATTATCTTTTCCAACAAAAAAAATGCAGTGGTTTACTCTTACATTTAAACCATTTCCTTTAGCCCTGACCAGTTGTGGCTTAGTTGGTTGGGCAGAGTCTCACAAAGTCAAAGGTTGCCAGTTTGATTTGCTTTCAGGACACATGCCCAAGTTGCAGGTTTCTCTCTTACCTTGATGTTTCTCTCCCTGTCTTTTCCCTCCCTTTACCTCTCTCTGTAAATAAATAAATAAAATCTTTAAGTATTAAATAAGTAAATAAATGATCTCTTTCCTTTAAATTCTCTCAACTATTATTTTATTTCCTTAAGCTAGCTGTTAATTTTTGTCTTTCTAGCAAAATTTAGCTAACTGGTTAGATAATAGGGAAAAAGATAACATTTCAATATTACATATATGCATATGATGCCATAATCAGCAGTAAGTGAGGGACTAATTCAGAGTAATTATTAAGATTGTCTTCCATTATTAATCTATTGGAACTTTTAGAAGTAGCATTTGCACAGATAAACTGCAAAATCCAGATACATTATGTTGGAAAATGTTAATATATATGTTAATATATTTTTACATTGTAATTTGTATTGTAAATAGAAGGAATTCTGTTCTTATAATAATCTATAAGAGAACGAGATATATAATGAGTATCTTGACTCAGGAAAACATGCTTATTGAGCAGTCTCTAGTGTGGTATCATGGGAAGGAAAACGCAAGGTTTCTTTTCAATATTCTTAGTGTTATAAGATTCAGATCTGTTCTTAAAATAGTGTTGTTGCATTTTCGTGCACTTAAATAAAGCAAATGTAAAAAAAAGTCTGAATTTTAACTTAGCCAGTCCTTACTAAGAAAACCTGATTTAAATGTCACTTAAATGTAATGTCACATATTATTCTCCTATAAAATGTATGTAATAAGTGATGTATTTTTAAAACTACCCAGTCAAAACATTCAATGCTTTAGCAGTGTTTTCTAAGAGGTTTATTGAAGAATTAAATTGGTGGAATTTTTTCATTTTTATTTCTCTGCAAATACAGAATATAAATCGTATGAAACAGGTATCCTCTATCACCAATCAAGAGCTGAAGATAATGCAGGATGATCTCAATTTTAAATCTACTGAAATGCAGAAATCACAAAGTACAGCTAGGAATTTGACTTCAGGTGAGAAAACAACCTAGATTTTAAAAATCTCTCTTTTTTTTTCTGTAACAAAATGGAACTTTTAACATTTACTAATGTTATTCTCTTTGAATTTTTTTTGAAAGACTGAGGATATAATTTATGAGTGCCTATTGTTCCAGTCATTTATAACCTTAGAATTTTGTCTAACTTTTCACATCAACTTAATAGTATTTCATTGGGTAGTAGTCTTCCTCTATGCCTAGGCGAGAACTTCAGTATTTCTAGGTTTAAAAAAAAAAATCCAGTCTCTTTTTTTTGAGGAACTTTCAACCTGGTGGAACGACAAGTAAACAATTAAAATACAATGAAATAGTGCTGTGATGGAAGCATAGGAGCCATGGAAGTACATACATAGGGCTCATATTCACCCCCGTCTGGGTAGTTAGGACAGATATCCTAGAGGAGGTAATGTTTTAATAGAATTAGTTTCACCCATAATGACTAACATGAGAACAGAGCAACACTGTCTAACAGAAATGTAATGGCCAGCCACATATATAATGTTAAATTTCCTAGTAGCCATGTTAAAAAACTAAAGAGAAAGATGAAGTTTAATAATATGTTTTATTTAACCCACTGTATTCAAAATAAGATCACTTTATCATAATCAATATGAAAATGATCAATGAGATTTTTAAATCATAGCCCATCTAACTTTGGACTAGACACATTAAAATGCTCAAAAGCCATTCGTGGCTAGTGGCTATCATTTGGATAGTACAGGCAGAGAGCGTTTAGAAACAATACACAAAATTGACCTTAAAGAGCCTAGGATAAATTCATGTGAAAACTTGTGTGGAATATTTTATTTTTTGAACTAGTGAATTCTAACTATTGGTGTTCTTTATGCTAACACGTGTGGTGACATTGAATTAGTTATGTTTTTATTTGTCTACTTGGAATTACTTTGACAGTTAGTGAAATCATGGGGAATGAAATGTAATTAATATTTACACATTTAAAAATGGTGACAGATTCTTTAACTATAATAATGGATCCATAATGTTCATTTTTCTGGAATCCCAAAACCTAAAAAGCTCTTGGCAGTAAAACCTAATCTGACCAGAACTGACATGAAGCTATTTATAGTCTTTAATTATCCTACCTAGTGTGACTTCATAGTTTTTGCTGCAGTGTTCATGTACTTGATGAAAAGATGCTGACTCAGACCCTACTGTGGGAGTTATATAATAATCAGTACATGCACTATATTACTTTCCTAAAATCAGAAGAATTTTGCATTCTAAAACAAATTCCTTAGGGGGATTTATTTAAGGGATTATGGGCCTATAAATACACACCGAATGCTATTAATATACAATTGAATTTAAATTGATGATACAAGTGGACATTTGTTATTATTCTACATATTTAAGTATATTTTATCTGCCCAGATATGTTTAGAGCCTGTTTACCATGGTTTTATTCGTATGTCTGAATTATATGCAAAAAAACTAGAGGAGGTAATTCTAATTTTGATTATTACCTACTATTGGTTTGATGATGAGTATTTTTTAATTATGCTTAAAACAACAAAATTCACCATCTTAACCATTTTAAGTATACATCATAGTAGTGTTAACTCTATGCACATTTTGTGTGATTGATCTCTAGAACTTTATTTTACAGACCTAAAACTTACACCAGTAAACAACATTGCCCCCCAACCACATCATATTTTCTGTTTCTGTGAGTTTGACAACTTTAGATATCTTATATAAAAGGAATTGTATAATAATTGTCTTTTGGGGAATGGTTCATTTATTTATAATGTTATTCAGGATCATGTATGTTGTAACATGTGGCAGGATTTCCTTTTTTTCAAGGCTAATATTTCATTGTATTACATACTACATTTTATTTATTCATTTATTTGGTGCTGGACGTTTAGGTGTTTCCACCTCTCAGCTATTGTGAATAATGTTGCATTGAGCATGGGTGTGCAAATATCTCTTTGAGATTCTATTTTCAGTTCTTTTGGATATATATGACTGAATATTTTTATCTCTTGATTCCTCTTTTCTATAAGCCAAAAAATTTTATGTTTTATTACTCTATCTAGGAAATCTCTTTTTTTGAGTTTTCAACCATAATTTTAAGTTCTTCATTTATCTAAGGTAAATATTAATTCAAGTTTTTGCTTCCTTGAAGCTGTCTTTGTGTAAATGGCTGTTGAGAAACATACATTTTTAAAAAGGTAATAAATATCAATACCAGGGAATCAATTCAGATATCAGGACTTTGTATTTCTTTCCTAATTTTATTCTTTGTGTTATATTTTCTTTTTAAAAACTAGACATTATATTTTCTCTGGAGATGCAGAGTTGAAAAAGAATTAGAACAGGTTTCAATGAAGATAAGAATTTAGTTCATTACTATGATAAAGATTTTACTGAAAATTTCCTTATTAAGGTTGGAATTTTCTTTACCCCTACAATTAATTTCATTTACTCAGTTCCATTTTGTGTTTATTTAACCAAACATATAAATCATTTATTTCCTATTTCCTTAAATCATCCTCCATAAGAAACTCCTTGTATCTAGAAATCACAGTCAGAGGTTTATAGTATTTTATTTCACTTTTCAGAAATAATGAATTTTACATTTCCCTTTTGTGAATTGCCTTCCTTTTTGGTCCTTGAGGTTCTAATCTGAACTCACTTGATTTTCCTAGTGTACTCTATGTTTCTTAATGGGGCGATATCACCACCAAGGGGTCAAATTGCTCCTTGGGGTAAAGAAAAAATATATTGGATATTACATTTTGTGGCTCTTCAAAGGGTCACTTTACATAAACAGATAAAAATTACATCTCTGATCCAAAAATTTTATGAAATGGAGGCAATTGGGTAAAAAGAAATATTCTTAAAAAAAGGCTCCTTAGGTGGATAGGTGGACAATCATGAAAAAAAAAGTTCAATTTATAATTTTCTTTCTTGGTCTGATTTTGGAATTATCTGATTTTGGAATTAGGGTAATTCTGGCCTCATAAAATAAGCTTGGAAGTCTACTCTCCTCTTGAATTTTTTTGGAATACTATGAGAAGGATAGGTGTTAGTTCCGTGGATATTTGGTAAAATGCTCCTGTAAAGCCATCCAATCCAGGACTTTGGTTTCTGGGGAGTTTTTTTTTAGTATTGCTTCAGTTTCACTAGTTGTAGTCTGTCTGTCCAGATTCTTTGATTCTTCCTGGTTCGGTTTTAGAAGAATGTGCGTTTCTGTGAATGTATCCATTCTTTCAGATTGTTCAATTTGTTGGCATTTAGTTGTCTGTATATTTTCTTACAATCCTTTGTATTTCTTTGGTGCCAGTTGTCATTTCTCCTCATTTGTTTCTGATTTCATTTATTCAGGTCCTCTGTTGTTTTTTTTTTCTTGATGAGTCTGGTTAAATCTTATTTATTTTTTCAAAGAACCAGCTCTTGGTTTCATTGGTCTTTTGTATTTTCTTAGACTCTGTTTCATTTAATTCTGCTCTGATCTTTATTATTTCCTTCTTTCTACTCACTTTGGCCTTTCTTTGTTGTCCTTTTTTCAGTTCTTTAAAGTGTAAAGTTAATTTGTTTATTTGAAAATTTTTCTTGTTTCTTGAGGTAGTCCAGTAATGCAGTGGATTTCCCTCTTAGGACTGCTTTTGCTATGTCCCACACATTTTGGGTTGTTGTGTTCTCATTTTCATTTGTTTCCAGTTATCTTCTGATTTCTTCCTTGATCTCATTGTTAACCCACTCATTGTTCAGTAACATGTTATTTAGCCTCCTTGTCTTTGTGTGTTTTTCAATTTTTTTTCTTATCATTAATTTCTAGTTTCATACCATTATGGACAGAACTGATGCTTGTTATGATTTTAATCTTAAATTTATTGAGACTTATTTTGTGTCCTAACATGTGATGTCCTGGAAAATATTCAGTGTGCACTGAAAAGAATGTATATTCTGTTGCTCTGGGGTAAAATGCTATGAAGTTGTCAATTAGATCCATTTTATATAGTGTGTCATTTAAGGCCACTGTTTCCTTGTTGTTTTGTGTCTGGAAAATCTTTCCATGGATGTCAGTGTGGTCTTAATATTTCATAATATGACTGTATTACTGTTGATTATGGGGGAAACTTTGTGCACAAGTCTGCCACAGATGAAAATAAAACTACCAAGACATGATCTGCTTGGGGAGGAGAGGTGGTCAATCTCTCAAAGGAGAAGGACCAAGAGCCCCTTCCTCAATGGCTTTTATTAGGTTCAGAACACACAGGAACACAGGTAAAGCTCATCAATCAATGTCAGGCGGGAAGGATCAAACAGTAGATAACACTTCAAAGAAATCTGAGGGGTTAATCTGAGTCAGTGTCTGTCGGGTAAGGGGGTTACAAAAACTTTGGGAGACATACTCAATTCCTGCTTGGACCCTTTATCATATAAATGAAAGCACTCTTAGTGAAGCAGCCTTCACAGGACTTTAGGAATTCTTTCTTATGACTGATCACCCCAGAACCAGCTCTAGCAATCAAAGGGCTGCATCACCCTCCCAATCATAGGTTTTTAGGCTTAAATGGATTAGAGCCAGGAAGCGCTTCTCCAAGATGGAAATGGGGACTCAGGCTATGTCAGAATAGCTGGGAAGGGAGGGTCCATCACTCCCTCTTTGTTGCAGCCCCCCAAGTCCTTCCTTGAGGGCCTTTCAAGTGATTGTGTCTGGCTTAGGTTGCCCCCCCCCTCTGAGGGGTCTTACCCATCATTGACTAATAGACCAAGCATTGGGGGCCAGAGAAGGATGAAGCAGAAGCAGGGCTCCTGCCAGGGAGATAAGCTTTTTCTCCTTAGTGGCTCACAGTTTAAAGGTCGCTCACTCAGCCTTATCCATGGGAGGGTTACAGCTCCTAAAACCAGGCAGGGCGGTTCCCAACAGTTAATTTCTTTCTTTAGGTTCATCAAGATTTGCTTTACAGATTTAGGTGCTCCTTTGTTAGGTGCATAAGTATTTAC